AAAAAAGTGGACATTTCAATTATTCAAAGAAGTGATTACGATGTCATCTAGAGATCATTTAGAGGGTGCCGATTCAGCGAGAGCAGATCGGGCATTAATAAAAGCTGCGATCAGTGCCGAAAGCTGAATACGATCGGTGCAACCTTGTGAGAGACGGTACTCGATATGCGCCATCCGAGCAATCAAACCGCACGTTATTGCTGATGATATGTCCAAATCGAACACCATTTCATGCAGTGATCTCAGAATATCCACTACCGCAAATCCATTCGAACGACGAATATCTTCTATCTCTTGAGAATAAAACAGAACATTAATCACATCAATTGATTATCCTACGGATATAATTTTCAAAATTCATTCTAAATGCATGGCTGTGGAACAACGCAACACTATCAAGAGGATACGATTTTTTGATTGAGCATAATTATATACATAATTTCTGATTGGAACAAAGAAGAAAACTGAAAACTAGCAACTGACTTGTGAATGCGTCTTCAAACGAATCATTCAGGAGGATGCGTAGAATCTGCTCAATTTGAGATGGTAGTGGTTGACCAACACATAAATAAACACTTCTTTCATCAACTTTCGGAAATGCCATCGCAGTACTCTCAAATAACAATGATGTTCCATTATGTTGCTATGATAATCTCGACAAAAACACAAAATGTTCACAACACAAACTTTGTAAACAATAAATCTGTGCAAACAAAAAACTAAGGCAATCACTAAACATTCACATAAAACGCCACATTCACAATGGCAAATATCATACCGTTGAACTACAATTTTTAAACACTTTTCCATCTTTAGATTGAAAACCAATTTGCAGAAAGAAGTACTTACAGAAAGGGAACAAAACGACGATATGATTCGATACTGTTAAGAATTAATACCTGAAGAATGTTCAGGACTCGCCTCATGTCACCTTCTGACAACTTCAGTAAAGCATTCTCACCATCTTCAGTCATTTCCAAAGATTCCAACTTAACTATCTCACGTATACGAGGCAGTATCTGTTCCTGAAATCATATCTGTTTATCTACCTTCCAACTTATACAATTCAAAACGCACAAGTATGCATTTATATCTTCTGACGACACATTTACATAAAAACATCGATTTCTAAGTCTTTCCATTCAGTGGTACGAAAGTCACATGAAAAGTAAACAGAATAATCAACATAGAATAAAAGCAAAGAACAGCAAACCTCAGCGAGCGGTGCGAAACGAAAACGAGTGCATCTCGACTGAACAGCAGGGATGATTTTCGATAAGTAATTACAGATGATACAAAACCGAACATTCTCNGTCGAATGACAATAAGGAAAGTTACAAAATGATGAACTTGTATGGGATTCTGTAAGTTCTGATATCACGAAAATATTCGTTCGACTGCTCAGAATTCTTGCCCGATGAGCAAAGGAAATTTTTTAACTTCAGTCAACGAATAACGAATATTCAGCAAGATTCCACTAAAAATGAGATATAATCAACGAGTGAATTACAAGGAAAACTGTAATGTTTGAATTACAGAATAATTTCGACAATGAGTTCTTCCATAACGGCAAACATAAAGTGATATGAGCGATAGTAATTACAAATAGAACAAAGACAATAACGATAACAACCTGAGGGCGCTTTGAGCATCTTTCGTCATTGCATCGGCTTCGTCGAGTATGATCAGTTTGATTTGATTTTTACCCTTCTCATCGAAATGCAATGTTTTTGTCTGCGCGAAATTTATGATTTGCTCACGAACGATTCCAATTCCACGGTCGTCTGATGCATTCAACTGAACACTTTTATCACTTGACTATAGAAATCGCACAACAACAAAAACAACTTTGGTAGGATCTATTGGATTCATTTGCTGTGGATGATTGACAAAAATTATCACATAAACTATCATAATATTGGGCAAATCATAATATTGGACCAAGTCATAATATTGAGCAATTCATAATCATAATATCATAATATTGCGCGTAAACAAGAATTACAAGTGAACAATTCACTTCGTTGATTCT